TATTTATTATATTAAATATAACAACATAATTAAAATATAATTAATAATATATATTTTATAAAATTATTAATATTTTATATATATAAAAAAATGAAAAAAAATTTAGTGGGGGCAAGTGGCCCCGCTATGATTAACTTAGATCCGTCCATGCATGTGATTGTGTGGTGAAATGTTAGTCTTGTGTATCATCTTCCTTTACTTCAAGTTCTACCTCTTCAAGAACAGGTTCTTGTTATTGGGGTACATCGTTATTGACTTCAAGGAAAAATATCATGTAATTTCATCCTTTATTGTATAGTGTCAATTTGGTAGTAAGTGGTTCACTTCAGTTTGACTAACAATGAAATAAAATCTGTTACCATTATTTTTAGTGATACACTGCATTGTCCTTAATGATACACTGTATAGTCCAACTGTTTAGTAATTGAAGTTATCAATTTCCATTGACAATATTATCAAATCCAATGTTTGAAATGCTTTGTACCAAATCCACGTGGATGCTGATTTTTTAAAAACACTTGGAACCAGAACGGCCCGTTCTGAAACCAGAACGGCCCATTCTGGTTGCACTCTTAGTGTGTTAATTTTGCACCTGGAACGGGCTGTTCCGGATGCAAAATTAACACGCACCAAGAGTGCACCCAGAACGGCTCGTTCTGGTTTTAGAACGGGCCGTTCTGGTTCCAGGTGTTTTAAAAAAAATGGGCATCCACGTGTGCATCTACGTGGCATCCACGTGGCCAATAGTTAACTCTGTTTAAATAATTTGGACGGAAGTCCCACATTGAAACCAATTAATTTATTAAGGATCAAATTGAGACCAAAAATAAAAGTAGGACTAAATTGAAACAAACAATTATTATAAGGGACCAAAATAGGTTTTTAGCCTTATTTTAAAGACAACAAATCATATTCACTACGTACATACAATTATTAAATAAAAATAAAATTTTAAAAAAAATGATACCAAATGAGAGGCTTGAACTTGTTTAATCTTCAAATATGACGATCTATTGGGCGCTTTTTGGTGACCTAATACACTACAATATTCCTCATAAAATCTCAAGAAATACAGAGGAGAGAGAAAGAGAAATTTCAGACTCTAAGGAGTCTTGGAAGAATTTTTCTGGCCCCGAAAATAGTGTCCAAGTCTGCTATTTATAGACGTCAGACCTGACCAGAATGGTCCGTTCCAGATTCGGAATGGCCCGTTCTGGAGCATTCAGTTATGAGTTACATGTGACTTTGGAACGACTCGTTCTAAATGTGGCACGGGCCATTCTAATGGCGGCACGACCCGTTCCAAATTTGCACTTTTCTCATAGTGAACTGCACCAGAATGGCCCGTTCTAGACGTAGAACGACCCGTTCTAAATTCGGAACGGCTCGTTTCCAATTTGAACGTTTCCCATGGTGAACTATACTGGAACGGACCGTTCTCAATTAGGGTTTTAGGTGTTTTTAGTAACTTGGAACGGCCCGTTTCGATTTTGGAATAACCCGTTCTAGGCTACTAAAACCAACCTATTTGGGCTTCAAATCTCCTCGTTGCCATATGGTGTTGCTTCCATACTTTGGGAGCTCCTCCGCTTCATTGTAGACGTCCATTTCATTGTTTTTGGTGGGTCTGGATAAAATTGGTTATTCACACTTATCATTCAAATCATTACCATCACATGTACCTTCCACTCTATACATGTCATCCCTCATTGATGAAGTATATGAACCCTTGTTTGACAATCTTTTCCTTGGACTCTCCTTGTTATCCTCATTTATAGCAATAGCATAACAAACAATCCCTTCGCACAAAAATTGTTTCTAATCTCAATGTTTTTCACTCCTTTAATTACATTCCCAATATACTATCTTAATATCTTCATCTTCATTTCACTACCCATGACTACCAATGTTATACACACATATATACTAGTTATCGAGTAGCATCAATTGTTCCCGTGGCCTAGCCTAGGTAGGTCAAGCCACATTTGACACGTGACACTTGAATTGGTAAATTAAATAGAAAGAGGTGCAACGTGACTAACAACTATAACTTTTGGTCCAATAATAAGCACTCAATCCAACATACACAAAATTAAATAGAAAAAGTAGAAATAATTACAATAGTAAATTAGTATTTAGATAACCTCAAATATGATCTCAAATCACTTAATTCATAAAACTCAATAACTTACCAAATAATTTACAATTTCTGTTCTTACCGGAGATCAGTCGTAGGGGACGATCTGTTGGGCAAGATTGATGAGTCTCCTTCGCCGGGTACGCTTGCTGCTCCAAAGTGGGGGTGGTACCTACAAAAGAGACTCCGATGCTAAAATTAGTGTTTGTGGATGTATGGATCTCGTATAAGTAATGCACATACCTTAGTGTGAATTAAGATTTATCTGGGCCTTGGGCCTGAGATCGGTTATGACCTGTTCAGATAGTGGGTCTTTGTCTTGGCCGATGTCATGCGGTGCATATCCAATGTCAATCTTCGTTGTGATGAGCTCGGCTTAGCGGTACGGATAGTACACTAGCCCCCCGAGCTCCGAAGACCATGGGTCGAGGAGTTAATACCGAGCTCGATGAAGGGTCATGACTCTTCACGTACGCCTGACGTGACACCATGTGTCATAAGTGTCACCTCGTTCCTCGAAGCGCGTGGGAGGCGTGTTAATGGGAGGTGACGGTTACGTAATGATGGGGCGCGCTCGTCATACTGGGCTCCATTAATGTGTTGTCACTTTTGTCTTCTTGTGCCACGTGTCACTGCCGTTTTCAATTCTTCAAACCCTTTTTCCTTCTCTCCTTCGCGCCCTCTCACATTCACTTTACCTTTTCTTTCTTGGCTTCTCGTGCACACCGACGCTTCCTCTGCACTCTTCCTTTCCTCGTCTCCGTTTGACTCCTTCATCGCCATTTCCGGCAACCCGGTCGCCGTTAAGGTCACTATTTAAGGAGGAGTACCAGTTACTTCCCTTCTGTTGTCTTCTCTCTCGTTTTTTCTCTCTACCGGTCTCCTTCTTCTTTCTTCTTCGTCTTTCCCCTTTTTCGAGTCTTTTCTACTCTTGATGACTGGTGAGAGTAGTGTTGCACCTTCTGCGCCGGCCAAAGGCAAGGACAAGGTGCGCGGCAAGGCGGTGGCCAACGAGACGGTCGCCATTGAAAAGAAGAGGGGTGGGAATAACCCTAAAGATTCTCACCCCGCCATTACCGAAATGTTCTTATCGGAGATCAGTCGTAGGGGACGATCTGCTGGGCAAGATTGATGAGCCTCCTTCGCCGGGTACGCTTGCTGCTCCAAAGTGGGGGTGGTACCTACAAAAGAGACTCTGATGTTAAAGTTAGTGTTTGTGGGTGTATGGATCTCGTATAAGTAATGCACGTACCTTAGTGTGAATTAGGATTTATCTGGGCCTTGGGCTTGAGATCGGTTATAACCTATTCAGATAGTGGGCCTTTGTCTTGGCCGATGTCATGCGGTGCATATCCGATGTCAATCTTCGCTGTGATGCCGAGCTCAAACTTGGCTTAGCGGTACGGATAGTACAATTTCAAATTCAACAAAATAAACCTAAAAAATCTTTAAAATAGTAATGATAAAATACACATTTTTACATGGTGGAATGATTTACGTTCCCCTCTCCCACACTTGTATTTTTCACTGTTTGTTATCTTCTTTATCTTTTACGACCTATGATTTCATCCACAAATAAATAATCATCTTCCATTGACATGACATTTGAAATCAGTGGCATCCCATATTTTCTTTCTTTTTAACATAAATGTGCACTCAAATAATATATGATGAAATAGACATAAAAACTAAAGTAATAGAGATAGTCTCAGTGAAAATGAAGAGGAGTTATACGAAGGTAACTTTGATTTGTTCATAGTTGAGAAATATATGTAGTTTTATTGAAAAGAGAAAAAAGTGAAGGGGCAAGAAGTTTGGAAGTTGAAGATGTAACCTACATTTGGCCTTCTCATTTTCGATTGGGTGCTTATTCATACAAAACTTAGACATACAAAATGTGAATGAGTGTGAGTTAAGTACATATTGAGAATATTGATGTATGCACAAAATATTAATGAGCATAAGTTAAATGTATATTTTAGATTTCAAATTCAATTAATAACATGCAGTTATGAGATAACTAAGTATTGAATGAGGAATGTTGAGTTTTAATTTGAGCGGAAAAAAGAAGGAGAACTTTCTCGTTATATTTATATATATAAGGAGAGATTCATTTGTTCCAAGAGTAAGTCTCTACTCAATAACTCATTTTGTATATCAAATTTTAACAATTCAGCCATTAAATTAAAAGTTCTTAATACATAGATCAAATATGAAATTAAAAAAATTATATATTAAAATATCAAAGAATTTTTATTTTTTTAAAAAAATTATATAATTAATCTATATATTAAAAATTTTAATTTAATAATTAAATCATTAAAATTTGATATATAATATAAATTATTGATTAGATACGTAGATGCTTACTTTTGGAGTAAGTGAACCACTCCCTTTATATATATATATATAAAGAGTTATGTCATATAATTGGTATTATATATATTCTTTGTTACTTTGTCCTTATAATTCACTCATTCCACGCTAGGGCAAAGACAATGGAGAACACAATTGAAGGTAACAAAGAGTTGAACACTTCAACCATCACTGTGGGAGGCGTCTATAACTTGTTGTGTGACAGCATCAACAATGAAGACAACAGATCCGTGGTTCGTCTTGGTCGTGTAGATCCCACCGACAACCCTTTGTTTCGGACTACCACTGTTGCTCTTGATGCCATTACAAGAGCCGTTCACTCATATAACTTCAACTGCTACCCTCCCACTCTTGGCTTACTGGAGGCAAAAAGGTTCATGTCAATTATGTTGTTTAATGATCCAAATCTAAACTAAAGTTGAAGATTTCGTTGTTAATGTGACCAATATTTAAGAATTAATTTGTGTTTACAAAAAATAGTTTATGTTAATTAAATATTATTTTATTATTAAGATATTAGAATTATCAGGTTGATTCCTAGAATTCCAAAATAAACCTTATAATCACTAAGTAAAAAAAAACCATTTAAGCCATTTATGTATACGTTTATTTTGTTAATCTAACACGTGCAATTCTCAAAGCAGTGCTGTTGCAGATCATCTCTCCTCTAATCTTCCACACAAGTTATCAGCAGAGGATGTTTTTCTGACCATTGGTGGCACACAAGCTATAGACATAATTTTACCTTCCGTTTCACGTCCTGGTGCCAACATTCTCCTTCCAAAACCAGGGTACCCTCATTACGATCTTCGTGCCACTCGTTCTCTTCTTGAAATTCGACATTATGATCTTTTGCCTAAGAGAGGATGGGAAGTTGATCTTGACTCTTTAGAAGCCTTGGCAGATGAGAACACTGTGGCCATAGTCATCATCAGTCCTAGTAGCCCATGTGGGAATGTGTTCACATATGAACAATTAAAAAGGGTACATATAATTAAGCTCAAATATTTTAACTTTATATTATATTTTAGACTCTAAAATAAAAAAAATAAAAAAAAAAGTGCAGTGATTTTAATCTCACATGACTCTTATATTAGGTTGCTGAGATTGCGAGCAAACTTGGAATCTTTGTAATCTCTGATGAAGTTTATGCTCATGTAGCTTTTGGAAGCAAACCATTTGTACCTATGGGAGAGTTTTCTTCAATTGTGCCTGTTATTACCATTGGTTCTTTGTCAAAAAGATGGTTTATTCCTGGTTGGAGAATCGGTTGGCTAGCCATATGTGATCCTCACGGAATTTTTAAAAAATCTGGGGTTTGTTTTTAGTTTTCAATCTTATTTTTCTTAATAGTTATTAAAGTACGACCGGATACAAGTTAGAAACATTTAAAAAAAAAACATTTTAGTAAGAACAAAAAATATTTTTTTAAAAAAGAAGTTCTTAATAGAGGCTTCTAAACTTGTTTTCAAAATACTTTTAGTTTAAGTTGCATTTCTTAACCTAAACTTCATAATATTATGGATTATGTGATTTTTTTTTATTAGGTCGTGACGAAAATAATCGAAAATCTGGAGATCACTTCGGACCCTCCAACTATCGTGCAGGTAATAAGGAAAATACAAGTGGTAAAAATAAAATACTGTTTGAAAATTGCATCCTTATGTTTTTTTTTTTTTGATAGAATAAATGCATTTTTGATTTTATATCTATGATTCACGTTCAAACAGGATTTACTTTAAAACTAGTTTATAAAACAACTAATTATTACTTTTACTTATCTATATCCAATTAAAGTTTATATGAATTTAAATATGTGTGTTCGTTATAATTTTGTAATGTTTCTTCTTTGTATGAGAGTATTTTTTCACTACAAGAAAATTGTCATATAATGATACATACCCTACAGTGACATTATACATATCACTAAAAATTACTTTTACTCACCCAATAACTATATTATATGTTGGTATATTATTAAAAAGTGTGGGTATAAATTATAATGATACATAAAATATGTTGTTAAATCTCACTCAAAATCAATATTAAAATTGTGTATAATTATATGTTAAATAGACATATATTTACATAATTATACTTATAGTAACATTTTTTGTATATTACTGTATGTAACATTTCTTGTAGTGCTACAACTAGTTAGTATGCACTTTGCAGGCAGCAATACCTGAAATCCTTAAGAAAACTACAGAGGATTTCCATTCAAATAATCTTATGATACTGAGGGAGGTTGCAAACATATTCTACGAAGGATGTGAGGAGATCCCTTGCTTAACATGCCCTCATAAACCAGACGGAGCCATGGTTACAATGGTAAATGTCGTAAATAATTTTACTATTTTCAACATGTTATAAACTTATAATATGGTAATCTAGAAAAGATGAATTAATTAAAAATAGAATATTGGAGTAGGTGGAGATTGACCTTTCACAACTTGAGGGCATTGTTGATGACGTACAATTTTGCACTAAGCTGGCCAAGGAGGAATCTGTAATTCTTTATCCTGGTGAGAATTTTCTCTTGTCATTGGAATTTTATCAATTTTGATAGAAAATAATGATGAAAGTGTGATGAGAATTTTCTCATCAATTGTTGATAGGTGTTGCTGTTGGATTAAAGAATTGGCTTCGGTTTAGTCTTGCTGTTGATGCCTCTGATCTCAAAGATGGTCTTAGCAGGATAAAAGCATTCAGCCTTCGACATGCAAAGATGTCATAAGTCGTGTCATTTGAAAGGTGTTGTTGTGACTTCTTAGGTGTGTGTTATGTCCTAATGAGACATTTATGCGACTAAATAAATTCATGTGCTTCATTTTATGTTTTTTTATCATATGATTTGATATGTAGGCTCAGCATGCACGGATTGCTTTGCTTTTTCTATGTACTTATACAATATCATATTTACTGGGGAGGGGTTGTCATATCATGTGTGGCAGCAATGTACAATAATGTGTGCTTTCTTTTGGGATCTTTATGTTCGCTGCCTTTTCCTCCTGTAACATAGCAAATGGCTACTTTGGGTTTGCAAGTTATTTGGTGTCTCCATTTACATTGGATTCTTAAATTGGTAACACCTTGTGTTTAATTTAAGTACTAATGGAATTTTTGCTTAAAAAAGAAACTTATGATGTGATATATTTCAAAGGTTTGTTGTTGGCTAAATGACCATTGTGGTGCACTTTTAGAAACAATATACTAAAATGGGGCTGTTTTGAAACATTTTACACCTTTGGGGCTGTTTTATAGGGTATCGCCACTACAACAAAATTTATTTTTAATGACAATTATTTAATGGCAATAATTTAATTGCCACCATATGTAAAAATATTAATGGCTAATATATAATAGCCACTAAAAATATATTTCTATTACACTAAAGTTTACTATTAGCGACAATTATTTAGAAAAAACTTAAGTCCCACATTGATTAGAGATAAGATAATTAAATAGTATATAAGTGAGTAATAACTATCACCTTACAGGTTCATTTTATAGGGTTGACTCCTAATTCACTATTCTAAATTGGTATCAAATCACTCATTGTTACCAACTTCAATAGTGCTATAAAACAATTAGAGACCAACTTTGACCTTATAAATCTCACATCGCTTAAAAGACAACATAATTAAAAAATAAATTAAAAAATATATAAATAAAAGACAACTCTCATCTTACAAATCTCATATCGAGTAGAGATAAAAAAGTATATAAGTTATGAATTTAGAAAATGAAATTATAGGAATAAATTATTTAAAGTAAAGGAGACAATTGAAAAAAATAACTTTTAATAGCCTTTAAAATGGCTACTAGAATTGCCACTAAAAAAATAAGTTTTTCCGACAATTTAGTAGATCTTTACCGGCATTTTATATAAATGCCGGTAATAGTATTAGCGACACTGGATACACCAGCCATTAATTAAATGCTGGTAAAAAAATTATGGCCATTTATATGGCCGCTAAATAATAAGTTAATTGCCACAAAAAACTAGTTTTGGTGTAGTGTA